ATATCTAGAGATTCAATCCCCAAAGTTCTACGACATGAATCTGGGGCTGGATCAGGGATACCTAAGTATTTCTGGATGTCAACAAATGGCTGAAGCTTTAGACCACAATGACAAAAAATTGTAAGAGCCACACAGGAGCAGAATAGAAACCCTAATTTGGAAGAAGATCACTAGGAACAGAGCCCTTAGAAACCATACTTGGTTCCATGTTAATCAGCATTTGAGAAGGGAAAAGGTTATAACATTTAAGAAATTCATGATGGATATTATATTTCTGACGCAAGACAAGATGTTGAGCAACCAATAAGAACGTAAAGTTCAAGAACATCAGGACTAAGAGAAAGATGAGGGAAATGTAATGTGAAGAAAGGACTGGGGAATAGATTGGAGAAGGGACTAGAACTTTCAGACCAGGGAGCAGTGAGACATATGTCAGGAGGAAGGAAAAAAGTGAAAACGGAATAGCTCAGGAAGGAGGAAAGTTGACCTCTGAACAGAAAGGAGAGGACAAGTCAAAGGCATATGAACAGACCAATTTAGGTGCCAAATTCTCCAACATAAGAGACTGCAACTCTACTGAAGCCAGACCAGGGCTGGATTTAGCCCTAGGAGTGGGAGAAGAACTTTGTAATAATAGAACTGAGCTATCTGCAACATTGAAGTGTTGTGCAAGAGGCACGCTGGTGCAGCATTACAGGAAACTTCAGTTGCGGCCAAGCAGCCTGCGCTCACTTGCTCGGTGACCTCTGGAGATGCCCTTAACCCTTCTCCTGGCTTCTGTTAAAGCAGCTGTAAATCTGGGTGAAAAGTAAAAACCCTCATTGGAAGCCAGATGCTAAATCTAAGCGGGGTTCCTCAGCTAAATGAAGTTAGCAGCACAGACAGGACATCAGCTGATTTATGACAGCGATTAAAGCCCATGGGGGGTGGAAGCAGGGAAGAGAGAAGCCCCCCCACAGCGCTCACTGGAGAGGATATTGCCAAACAAGGGGCTTCCTGTACGGGCCACAGCCAGTGGGGCGCAAAGCCGTGTCCAGAAGCTGGTGCTTGAAGGACTGCCCCGTTCGCTGACAGGGCCCTCTATGCCCAGTGGCACTTGTTCGTTTCATTAGGCCAAAGCAGTCAACGGAAAAAGTGGCTGAGCCCCAGGGGAGGGTGAAGCAAGGCTGCCATGGGATGAGACCTGGCAGGATGTGCCAAGGCAGATACCGCGGTGACAGGTCAGGTGGGCATCGGGGCAGGCCTAGGATAGACAGATCGGGGCAGAGCCAGGCCAGGCTGGGGGGGAAGGGGGAAGCTGGGCCCTGGGAGGGTAAAGGGGGGAGCGGGGAAGCCAGGCCGGGCGCTCACTCACTATAGGGCTGCTTTGGGGCTGTGTGTGGGGACGGGGAAGCCGGGCCGGGCCCAGGGGGGAGCGGGGAGGGGGCGGGGAAGCCGGGCCGGGCACAGGGGGGAGGAGGGAGCCGGGCCCGGGGGGAGCGGGGCGGGGAAGCCAGGCCGGACCGGGCCGGGCACTCACCGTAGGGCTGCCCGCCCAGCTCGTACTGCTGCATGCGATAGACCGTGAACTCGTGGGCGGCCTCGGCGGCGGGCGGCGGCCCCAGCAGCAGCAGCACGGCCGGCACGAAGAGCAGGAAGCTGAGCGGCAGGCACGAGGCCTTCAGCACCGACTCCAGCACCTCGCCCGCCTCTTCCAGCATCGCCCCGGCTCCCTCACACCCGGCCACCCGCCGCAGCCTGCAGGCACCGCACGGACAGCCCGGCTGAGGGGGCCTCGCCCGCAAGCGCTCACGGGAGATGGAGTCCTGCCAGGGGGAGGGGCCCGGATGGGGGGCGGAGGCCTAGCCCTGGGGGCTGCTGGGAGTTGTAGTCCTCTATAGGCGCGTTCCTTGCCAGGGCTGCTGGGAGTTGTAGTTGAAACACTTTCCTCATGGAACAAGCAACAGAGAGGCCTGTGGCACCTTTAAGACTAACAGATGTATTGGAGCATAAGCGTTCATGGGTGAATACCCACTTCGTCAGACGCATGCCAGATCCAGACTAACACGGCTACCCCTCTGATACTTTCCTCGTGGATTGTATTTTAAATGGATACCCTACCATCAATTCTCAGTTACTGAGGGACCGTCTCCACTCA